AGTCAACTTAAACTTCAATCAGTACAAAACAAAGCTATCCGTAGAGGATCAAAGCAACTCCCCCATACACCACCAAAATGAAAGAACTTCACGAACTATACAATATCGAACCACTGAACACAGATAGACACAGAGTTTGGAGCAAATTTGAAGAGTTGGAGAACCCAATCTTCTCCCAGTTAAAAAAAGAAGAAACCACAAAAACACAGGTTGTGGCCCAAGAGCCTCCACGCTAACACAGAAGAACAAGACCCACTTCATACATATATGTGAACAAATAACACCACCACTTAATAACAGGTACCTACTTTACTGCTAGGTGAGCACGGACTAATGGGGGCTAGGAAGTATGTCCAAACAACTTCCACCTGCCCGGGAATCGAACCCGTGACATCTCGCTTGCGAGGTAAGAACGGTACCGCTCTACCACCAGTGGTCCTGCATCATAGATCGGCAAAAAACAAAAACAAAAAATGTCCACGTGACCTCCATATCTTGTATGCACTTTCAACAAGTAAGTCCAGTACTGTTTAGGGAAAGAGAATTTAGCGGTAGTTACTGCAAACTTCGATTTCAGGGGTTGTGCGAGTTATAAAAGATCACTGGCGAGCGGCAGGTGATAAGCCGCCATAGCGTAGTAATGGACGCGTAGTGGTGGTCGACCTGGTTTCACTCGGATATACCAGTTAGACGCGTGCAACTACACAAATCAGCTAAGAAATGTTCATAGAAAGAGGAGGGAACACTAGATCTCCCTTCTAACTGGGGCAAGGTACACCTGGTTGTACTGTGACTTGACCTAATTGGGCGGGATTGGGCTGTCGCTCTTCCTCTCTTATAAAATAATGGAGAGTGAGCTTGCCCTGGGTGTAGAATGATTGAAATGAAGGGTTAAACTCTGGGAAGCCAGAAATCATCATGGTGCAAGTGAGCGCTAAATTTCCATGGTACTAGTGGGCAGTACAGGTACCTTCATCTCTCCAACTATGGGTGTATGTGGTTTGTCTAACCAAGTTTTAGTGTGAGGTCAACGACCTGATGGTTGATCACACGCTCTGGACGTAGGAGTGTCTTTTAAAGAATTGTTTGGTACTGTAGTACCACTTGAGGTGTTGGTGTATTCTGGGGCAACATTGTGGAGCATGCTAACAGTGGAGGAAAGCACCCATGATTCATGAACCCAGAAGTAGAGTAATAAAAATAAGCTGAAAAGCCGCCAACCTGACAAGTCATGAGTGATTTTCTCGGTCAAAACATAACTTTGGATTTTTCTGTATCTACATGCCATAGGCAAGTTATTAGTTAAAATCTCTGGGTTCTGTGCATTATGTCGAAGTTATAATTAATATTTCAAGTGGCTAATATTATTTTGTGGGGTTTCCATACTCTGATGATAGGGTAAGACATGCTTTGATTTATCCATATGAATTATTTTGTCTGGTGCAATTAATATATTGTATATTGTGCAAGTAATATCTTTATTGTGCTATTAATGGTGGTGTATGGCGGTGTAGGTTTTATTGAGGGATCAATCCAGATGAATTCTTTTTCTCTTGTGTGATTAATATATTTGTCGTACCAGAAATATTTTGTAATTTCATTATTGTACTATTAACAGTAGTGCCTAGCGATGTAAGACATGTTGAGAAAATAATCTAATTGTCTCCTGCAATAATTAAGATCTTTTTTTTCGTGCTGTAAGGGTGGTGCTTGGAGTAATACAAGTGTCATATCATTACCAGTGCGTCTCCTTAAACCCAATCTCAGGAACACCAGGCCAGGTCACGGTAAATACTTTTATTAATTTTGTTTGTGCTGGATCTATTCTGAGGGGCCCATCCATTGCATTGCCATCCATTTCCAAATAAAAACCCCCAATAGGACTATTTTTGACCGGTTACACACACACACACACACACACACATACACACATATATATCTTGTCTAATAAATCTGCTAATGTTTTTTAGGAAAGTCTTCGAGGTAGTAGATAATGACGAAAATTTCGATGTTATTTACTTAGACTTTAGCATAGCGTTTGACAGAGTACCGCATCAGACGCTTCCGAGAAAAGTTAAGGCTCATAGTATCGAGGGGAAAGTTTTAAATTGGATAAAATCATGGCTCACCGATAGAACACAGAGTGTCAGCGTAGATGGTGTTAAATCTAAGTGGGGCTGTGTAACCAGTGGGGATTACCCAGGGGTCAGTACTGGGCCCACTCTTGTTCATAATCTACATAAACGATCTAGATACTGGGATCAGCATTGACATAAGCAAGTTTGCGGATGACACCAAAATAGGGCGGCAGATTAATTCAAGGCAGGATGCACATGCACTACAGGAGGATTTAAATAAACTGCAGGAGTGGTCAGAAAAATGGCAAATGAAATTCAACACCACCAGCAAGTGCAGAGTACTAAATATTGGAAGAACAAATACTGTCAATGTATACAGCCTTAACAACATCAACCTAGAGAAGTTGACTTGTGAAAGAGACTTTGGGGTACTTGTAAGCACGGACCTACGGCCTAGAAAACAGTGCATTAATGTTCGAAATACGACAAACAGAGTATTAGGTTTTATATCTAGAAGTGCAAGTAATAAGAGTGCAGAGGTCTTATTGCAACTATATCTTGCGCTAGTCAGGCCGCACCTCGATTATGCTGTTCAGTTCTGATGCTCTTATTATAGAATGGATATCAATTCACTGGAGTCGGTGCAGCGAAGAATAACGAAAATGATTCCGGGACTTAGAAACCTTCCATATCAAGATAGGTTAAAGAAACTAAACTTGCATTCCCTAGAAAGGCGAAGAGTGCGGGGAGATATGATAGAAATATTTAAGTGGGTGAAAGGAATCAATAATTGAGCTATAGATAAAGTTCTTATAATATCCGAGCAGGATAGGACACGTAGCAATGGATTTAAGTTGGATAAGTTGAGGCTTAGGAGGGAGATAGGAAGGAACTGGTTCACAAATAGGGTGGTTGACGAGTGGAACAAGCTTAGCAACTTTGTAGTAAGTTCTGGAACACTGGAAATTTTTAAAAGAAGGCTAGATAGATTCATGGATGATAGAGAGTGGTAGTAACTCTCGACAGGAGCTGCCATGCAAAGGCCAACCGGCCTATTGCAGACTCCTTATTTTCTTATATATATATATATATATATATATATATATATATATATATATATATATATATATATATATATATATATATATATATATATATATATATATATATATATATATATATATATATATATATATATATATATATTTGTTCATTAGATAATAATATTCCTTGTTATTTTGTAAAGCCGATGGTGCTAGCTCAAACATGCACCGATCTCCAAGAAAAATTACAGTGGTGTTTCCTAGATAAATACACAACACCAATACTTTGAACAGCAATGTAGGACCCTTTTTATTTTTGGAGGGCAACGGTCACACCCTTATATATATATATATATATATATATATATATAATCAACGACCTCACCAGCCAGGACTCGAACCCTCGACCTACTGGGTGGGACCTGGAAATGCTACCGACCATGCCACAAAGACACTAAAAGCGGTTCTAGACTATGTTATATTTCACACAAAGCCTGTTCATCGTGCTGATGGCGCCGTGACCTCCCATTGGGAACTGCCCGTGCTATTTATATGGATGTCAGTAGCATTTTACCAGAGAGAGAGAGAGAGAGAGAGAGAGCACAGTGTGTGTGTGTATGTATGTGATATTCTCTCTCTTCTCTGTGCAAATTTTACAAACCCACTGCTCACCAACGGCACATCCAATTTCATTAAGTAAATCTTGTTAATCCAGGACTCACAATGTATTCTACAAAAACGGAAACTTCCTCATGACAATGAAGGAATAACACTTGGTGCAACATTTGAACAGCTATTCACATAAATATACATAATAATATTAAAACATAAGAACAAAAGAATGGAGGAAACTGCAGCGGGCCGATTGTATTGGCCCATACTGGGCAGTCCCGTTTACACACAAAACCCAATCGGTCATAGCCCCTCAACCTATATTTTAACCTATCCAGCGTGTTAGAATTAATGATGATGTTTGGTAACTTGTTCCACTCACCCATACTCTATTTCCGAGCCAGTGTTTACCTATCTCGCGCCTAAATCTGAATTTGTCTTATCTAAAACCATTACTACGAGTTTGTTCCTGGTTGGATAATTTAAGTACCTTTGTTTAAGCCCGGGTCATTTATACACTTCAATCATATCGCCCCTCTACGTTTCTCGAGGGAGTGCAAATTCAGATGTTTTAATCTGTCTCTATACGACTCTATACTCAAGGTTCCCAATGCCCGGAATTGTTCTTGCCATCCTCCTCTTTATGCTTTCTTGGGATTCGATATCCATTCTTTAGTCCGGTGACCAAAACTGAACTTCATAATCCAAGCGAGGTTTCACAAGCGCAAGATATAGTTTAGGAAATCCTTGCTAATCTTGTAACTAATACTACTTTGTATATCAATGTTGTTCATCTCATATATGGTTTTTCTGTTTACATACCCTAGGCTAAGTATTGTACATTTGTCCGCATGCGAAAAAAACTGCTTAGATCTTCCTGTAGTTTTGAGAACGCCTCGTCAGGTTTAATTACGCACCCTATTTTAGTGTCATCAGCAAATTTACTGATGTTGCTGTCTATGCCTATAGCTATGTCGTTCATGGGTATAATAAATAGTAGTCAAAGTACTGACTGAGACTCCACGAGTGATGTTACCCCAATCGGATTTAGTGCCATTAATGTTGACTCTCTGTTTCATGGCCTGTAACAACGCCCTAATTCAGTTTAAAACTTCTTCAATTCCATGTGCCTCAACTTTACGTTTTAGTATTTCATGGGTGACCCTGTCGAAGGCTTTGCTAAAGTTGAGGTAAACCACATGATAATCGTGTTCGCCATCCACTGATTCGAAAACAGATGAAAAGACAAAGGTCCACAGCCCAGGGATTACTCACCAGCGACCATCTGCCAGATGACGTTAACAATAGTGACTTCAAGGGCGTGAGGCAATGGTGCTGGTCTTCCTGCTTGGTTCTTGAGCTGCTGCACCAACTGTGTACCCTGCCACTGCACTGCTGCCACCATCCTGGACTTACCCATCCCCAGGTCCCGCAGTTGACGCAGAACGAAGCGCCGGTTATTCTGCCACAGAGACCCGCCAGATGCTATCACACCTGTAAGAGTCATCAATATAGAAAATGGAGTCACAGAAACTTCAAATTTATTTTAGGAAAAAAAAATACAAGCACTATGAGAGGAATAAGAAGCTTATTAAGCATAAATTAACGAAACTAACACACTTCACAATGGAAATAAAACACCTGAATATCAGCTTTATGTTGTTTTATTAGAAGTTGGTGGTCAGTAGTTTAATGTTTCGGTGCCTTGCCTGAGGGACGTGAAGCATGGTTCTCTGAGTCGTACAAGTGTTATCTCAGTGTTGATGACTAAGATGACATCAGCTGATGACTCACATGTAAATCGGTAGCTGTAGCAGCTTTTGTTGTTATAAAAATCATAGTTAAACGTAAATCCTATTTACTGTAACAACACTCACAAGCAAATGCAACATGTCACCCACATTCATTTCCACGTGGCTTAGTGGTGACATCTAAATCCAAATAAATCCAAGTCTATATTGATGTAAAAATAATGAAAATTTTTTTTGATAATTACATTTATTAAAAATTAGTAGCAAAACTGCCCTGCTTCGCCTTGGTTCGATAAATACTATAGAACCTTGACTGTCAAAGCTTACCGTCCCTTGTACAGGCAACCAACACCCACAATCACCGTGGTGATATCTCAGTCTGAGAAGATTTTTTATTCTTGTCTGGACTACCTTTGCTTTATATAAATATGTACCCAAATGAATAACACCAAGTTATTCACCAAGTTATTCACCAAGTGATTCACCATGTAATTCACGACTTTAGATCACTTGGCTTGCATCTCTCTCAAGGTTCGAGCCAGGGTCAGCTGATTTGGCAAAACAAACGGGGCACTCTCACGCCCAGGGAGTGGCAGTTTACTCACTACCACTGGAAAGGGAAGCTGGGCACTTAACTCAAAGTGTTATCTCAATGTGTTATTCGCAACACTTCCCTGGAGAGAATTCAAATATATTCTCTCAGATTGCACCTGTGTATATACCTGAAAAAATTGCAATAAAACAGAAAATGCCAGGAAGTGTTTGCATCAGCCATGCCACTCTGAAGTTCCAGAACTTAATTATGACAATTAGTGTGATATTGAAACAGCTATCACATTTACTGGCAAAAGGTGAGACGAATACTATAAACTAGTGCAGTACTCAAGCAATTATTGATGACCCAGTGACACAAGTAACAGTCTATGTGAATCACCAAACAAAATATTTTCTAAAAAATAAGTGGACAATGCTTATAAACACTTGTAAAACGTGTACACAGAAATCCAGTGGGGTACAAAGACAATATTAAGACTTGCTGACATAGCAGTCCACCACCCAGCACCAGCACACAGCACACCAGTCGAGCCTACCTGAGTGTTATCTTAGTGTCCCAGTCAGCTTATGTCCAGCCAACCAGACAGCCAGCCAACCAGCAGCCACCACTACAACACAGGAGTACTAGGAAAGCTATCATCGGGATTCCAGACAAGCAGACAAGCGAGCAGCCTCTTGCTTAAACAATTAAGCCTCTCCAGTGCACAAGAAAGGTAAGCCCCAGGTTGACCGGTACAAGAAAGGTCAGCCCCAGGTTGATTACCGCATGAAGGGTCAGCCCCCAGGTTGATCGCCGCAAGAAAGCTCAGCCCCCAGGTTTATCACTGCAAGATGTGTGACGTCATCCTTCCCAGAGTAGGACGCCATCGACTTCTGACGTCACCAGCTGTCGTCGAAACTCTACTAATTCTACGGTTAGGCATGGCTTGAATATCGCTACTCCTGTTGGCATGGAGAGCTATAGCAGCAGCCACATCCTCAGCAGACACCATCAAAGCAGAAGATCTAGTTGCCCAACTGGGTAAGTACTTGTAGTGGACGACGTCATAACTGTCAAATACCAGTTCCATGGCTTCGAGCGAATGCCTGTGCACTTTAGGTCAATAACTGTCCACAATGAAACAGCTATGCACATCCTTCAAAAACGTCCGTATGGAAAGACTTCTCAGGAGCGTAATGCACTCTGAAGGAAAGCTACCTATGTCTCCTGAAGACATCGGGAAGAAAGTGCACTCTAATCAGCGTCAAAAACGTAGTCTATTTAATTTTATTGGGTTAATGAGTAACACCCTTTTTGGTACAGTAACCGCAGAAGATGAAAGTAGTACGCAAGACGTGGCTCCCACAACACCCCGATGGAGTGACTTAGTAGATCATCCTTGCCTTTCATTTCCAGGAACAACTTAAGTTCTCCCCGAAGTTCGAACACTCGATTCACAATATTACCCGTGGAAAGCCATCGCACTTTGGAGTAAAAGAGGAGGGTTTCATGCTCTGAATCCATGCCTCTACAGAAGTTCTGGAAAAGGGGAGGGTTCAAATCTCCTGCTTTCACAAAGTTGACGCATTTAACCGCTGCCTCCAGGATTTGCAAAGAGCATCAGGGAGGGTTTTCGACGCCACTGCAGAACGATGGATCATACAATGAACCCCTTTGGCATTCAGAGCTACTTCCTTGGCGTGCTTCTGTAACCCTGATTTCGAACCCAGCATCGCCGGAGCCCCATCAGTACAACCTCCACAACATTTTTTCCAGGTGATCCCGTTAGCCGTGAAGAAAGAAGTTAACTTTTCCATCATATCTAAAGCTGTTTTTTATTATTATAATTTTTAGTCTTTATCATTCGTCTGTTTATTAAAGAACTAGTCAACATTTAGAGAGAGAGAGAGAGAGAGAGAGAGATTACAATTTTTTTGTAAAAATAGAGATTCATGATTGACTTATATTTTTGTGCTTTATTATTATAATTTTTAGTCTTCATCATTCGTCTGTTTTTGTCCGTTCGGCATTGTTTTTGTATAATTATCCTTAGAATTGAGAAGGCTGCCAGTGTTTCTAAGAACCAGAAGTACAATGATGAATACATTAACTACGGATTTACATCAATCCTCGCTGATGGCATCGAGTAACCTCAGTGTGTGTTGTGTTTCAAAGTGTTGGGGCACGATTTAATGAGGCCTAGTAAGCTGAAGCATCATCTGACGACAATCCACCCCCAGTATGCGGAAACAGGTCCCAATTTCTTCAAGCGCCATGAACAGAGTTTGGGAAAACAGAGACTGGATGAGAGTGGTACCATATAACAACAGAACTTAATTATAGTTGAGGCATCATACGAGGTTACCATTGAAATAGCAAACAAGAAGAAGGCCCACAACGATTGGTCAATCTTTAATTCAGCCGTGTGCTTTAAAGATGGTCAAGTGGGTTCTTGGAGAGGCAAGTGAACGTAAGATTCAGCAGATTTCCTTGTCAGACGACACGGCGAAACGGAGAATTAGTGAAATGTCAGGTGATATCATGGAACAAGTGATACAGGAGATTAAATCGTCTCCAACTGGTATGTTTGCCACACAGTTGGATGAGTCAACGGATGTGAGCTCTTGTACACAGCTACTTGTGTTTGTTAGGTATGTATTCTTGCGTGACATCAAGGATGAATATCTGTTCTTGAAACTACCATAACAGCTTTAGATGTGATGGAAAAGTAAACTTCTTTCTTCACAGCTAAAGGGATCACCTGGAAAAATGTTGTGGAGGTTGTACTGGTGGGGCTCCGGAGATGCTGGGATCGAAATCGGGGATACAGAAGCACGCCAAGGAAGTAGCTCTGAATGCCAAAGGGATTAATTGTATGATCCATCGTTTTGCAGTGGCGTCGAAAACCCTCCCTGATGCCCTTTGCAAGATGATGGAGGCAGTGGTAAAATGCGTCAACTTTGTGAAAGCAGGAGATTTGAACTCTCGCCTTTTCCAAAACCTCTGAAGAGGCATGGATTCAGAGCATGAAACCCTCCTCTTTTACTCCAAAGTGCGATGGCTTTCCACGGGTAATATTGTGAATCGAGTGTTCGAGCTTCGGGGAGAACTTAAGTTGTTCCTGGAAATGAAAGGCAAGGATGATCTAAGTCACTGCAACGGGATGTTGTGGGAGCCACGTCTTGCATACCAGGCAGACATATTTGAGCAGCTAAACAGGCTGAATCTCAAGCTACAAGGCAAAAAAAAGAGATGTGTTTAACCACATGGATTGTATTCGTGCATTTCCTGACAAACTCCAGAACTGGGAAGGGAAACTCAGTGCAGGAAATGTTGCCATGTTTGAGAATCTCTCAATTGTTCTTGACGAGATTGAAGAGGATCATCTACTTGACCCATCACTCAAAAATGAAATAATTCAGCACTTGAAATCCCTGGAAAGTGAGCTCAAAGGTACTTCCCAGAATTCGAGGGGGAAGAAGGGAAATTGGTGAGGAATCCTTTCTCTGGCACTCTTGATATTGCTGCTATTCCCGACGATGGTCAGGACGAATTCCTTGATCTGAGGAACGAATCTGCTGCCAGAGACCTCTATGAAGAAAAATCTCTGACTGTATTCTGGTGCTCAATGTATCAGTCATATCCTAAAGTGAGTGAGATCGCACTTCGAGTCCTCTTGCCATTTTCTACTACTTATTTATGTGAATCTGGTTTCTCCACCCTTCTTCAAATAAAGAATAAAAGCCGAAACCGGTTACATGTGGACCCAGACATGAGATGTGCTTATCAGTGTCTCAACCTCGAATCAGTCGGCTGACTGAAAGGAAACAATGACATCCATCCCATTGAGCTATAACAAAATATGCATTTATTTTGATGATTGTTAACATTAAAATAAAGGAAGAGAACCAAAACAGTTTATTTTCATCATTATTTGTGAGGGGGTTGGTAGAGAACTGAAAGGAGGCCACGAGGATGTTGAGTGTTCCTCATGGGGGGAATGGAGTGAAAAAGTTTGAGAATCACTGGCTTAGATCAACCACAGCCTTTTCAATACATAACAGAAGACTCGGAGATAGAATGCAACCAATAGACTTACCGTTGGCAGCTTCTTCCCCATACCGAAAAAAATTCCAGGGAGGTCTGTCGAGGAAGTCCTGACTGGTAAAAGCGTCCTTGTTTAGCTGGTAGTCATGGAGAATCACCATTACCTGCGTCCCGAATCTCCATCTGTGAAAAAAAAGAGTTTTGTGAAATATTTCTGAGACTCAAAAAACAAATATCGATTTTGTTTTCATCATCGTAATATTTATCTACCAAACACATTTTCGTACCCAGTCCTGACTTCTCATCTGGGGTAATATAACCTCACTAACTCAAAATACACTGTATATAATACTGGTCGTGTGATTTAAAAAAGTTAACTCAATAAATGACTTAAGAACATAGTGCCCTCCTTCGATAAACAATTCAGTTTTATTCATGTACTGTCGCCACCACAAACATTATGCATAATACATTTACCTAAATGATAACAATATATTTAGTTAAACATTTCACTCTACACAATAAAACTGGTAAATTAACTGTGGCAGTAGTCTCTCTGCTTGAATCGTTAAGATGATCCAATATTTTACAATATCAACGACATCGACATACAGAAAGGTTCACCAGCAATCTTATGAATAAGCACTAAATCCAACATTTCCAAATTTGATGTCAACACTTCGGATAAATTCGTGTGTTAATGTCGTATCATCCTAGAATAGTGCTTGGAAACAATTGCGAAATCCTTGTAGATAATTTCATATTTTATCATATTTTCTAAAATATAACCATAAGAACCCATACTTTGCATATACAGACAAATGTGAAGGCGACATGAAGAAGTTTCAAGGTCTCTTACATGGTGGAGGACCTGAGAAAGGTACATTTGTTTTCCACTCATTCCCGCCCGACCACTGCAGTTAGAGGTAGTCGCTAGTCACGCAGTGTTTCTCAAACTGGGGGTCACGGCAAGATTTTAGGGGGGCCATGGCGGGCTAGCGTAAGTAGTATATGTTTGGAGAAATTGTGGAAAATCAGATTCAACTTTTTTTGTTGCTTTGCCTTGTTAGGGGAGAAATCGTTTTTTTTTTTATTTGTCTTTTTTTTGTCATTGCTTGTAATCATAATACCCGTACGGTACAATTTTGATATTTACATAGTAAGGAGCAGCAGCAAGTTTTCATTTCCAACGGATTCGCTCAGATTGCACGATTCTAGTTCCTGTCAGCAGGGTGACGGGCGCTGGACTGAGTCACTGATCTCATATGTTCTGTGCATGTCCTTGTGTCATCGCTTTACAAGTGGTGATCAGACCGAACGTTCTCAGCCTTGCTCAAGATATCATTAGGACAATATGTGAGTGTACTGTGAGTGGACTGTATGTGTATGTTTTACATGTGATTGCATAGGCATTTTATGTATGTTTCGACTTCATGCATGTTTGTGTGATTGACATTCGGATTATTGTCTCATATTTTTTTTTATTGTTATAATTTTTAGTCTTTATCATTCGTCTGTTTCTGTGACATTCTGCTTTTTAAAGACCTAGTCAACATTTAGAAAGAGAGAGAGAGAGAGAGAGAGAGAGAGAGAGAGAGAGAGAGAGAGAGAGATTACAAATTTTTTGTAAAAAAAGAGATTCATGAGTGGCTTATATTTTTGTTCTTTATTATTATAATTTTTAGTCTTTATCATTGGTCTGTTTCTGTCCGTTTGATATTGTTTTTGTATAATTTCCTTAGAATTGAGATGGATGCCAGTGTTGCTAAGAAGCGGAAGTACAATGATGAATACATTAACTACGGATTTACATCAATCCTCGCTGATGGCATCGAGAAACCTCAGTGTGTGTTGTGTTTCAAAATGTTGGGGAACGATTCCATGAGGCCTAGTAAGCTGAAGCATCATCTGACGACAATCCACCCCCAGTATGCGGAAAGAGATCCCGATTTCTTCAAGCGCCGTGAACGGAGTTTGAGAAAACAGAGACTGGATGAGAGTGGTACCATCCAACAACAGAACTTAATTATAGCTGAGGCATCATACGAGGTTACCATTGAAATAGCAAAGAAGAAGAAGGCCTACACGATAGGTGAATCTTTAATTCAGCCGTGTGCTTTAAAGATGGTCAAGCGGGTTCTTGGAGAGGCAAGTGAACGTGAGATTCAGCAGATTTCCTTGTCAGACGACACGGCGAAACGGAGAATTAGTGAAATGTCAGGTGATATCATGGAACAAGTGATACAGAAGATTAAATCGTCTCCAACTGGTATGTTTGCAATACAGTTGCATGAGTCAACGGATGTGAGTTCCTGTGCACAGCTACTCGTGTTTGTTAGGTATGTATTCTTGCGTGGCATCAAGGATGAATATCTGTTCTCTACACAGCTTGAAACTACCACAACAGCTTTAGATGTAATGGTTCACCTGGAAAAATGTTGTGGAGGTTGTACTGGTGGGGCTCCGGCGATGCTGGGATCGAAATCGGGGATACAGAAGCACGTCAAGGAAGTAGCTCTGAACTGCCAAAGGGATTCATTGTATGATCCATCGTTTTGCACTGGCGTCGAAAACCCTCCCTGATGCCCTTTGCAAGATCCTGGAGGCAGTGGTAAAATGCGTCAATTTTGTGAAAGCAGGAGATTTGAACTCTCGCCTTTTCCAGAACCTTTGAAGAGGCATGGATTCAGAGCATGAAACCCTCCTCTTTTACTCCAAAGTGCGATGGCTTTCCACGGGTAATGTTGTGAATCGAGTGTTCGAACTTCGGGGAGAACTTATGTTGTTCCTGGAAATGAAAGGGAAGGATGATCTAAGTCATTGCAACGGGGTGCTGTGGGAGCCACGTTTTGCGTACCTGGCAGACATATTTGAGCAGCTAAACAGGCTGAATCTCAAGCTACAAGGCAAGGAAAGAGATGTTTTCACCACATGGATTGTATTCGTGCATTTCCTGACAAACTCCAGAACTGGCAAAGGAAAGTCAGTGCAGGAAATGTTGCCATGTTTGAGAATCTCTCAATTGTTCTTGACGAGATTGAAGAGGATCATCTACTTGACCCATCACTCAAAAATGAAATAATTCAGCACTTGAAATCCTTCTAAAGTGAGCTCAAAAGGTACTTCCCAGAATTCGAGGAGGAAGAAGGGAAATTGGTGAGGAAACCTTTCTCTGGCACTCTTGATATTGCTGCCATTCCCGACGATGGTTAGGACGAATTCCTTGATCTCAGGAACGAATCTGTTGCCAGAGACCTGTATGAAAAAGAATCTCTGACTGTATTCTGGTGCTCAATGTATCAGTTATATCCAAAAGTTAGTGAGATCGCACTTCGAGTCCTCTTGCCATTTTCTACTACTTATTTATGTGAATCTGGTTTCTCCACCCTTCTTCAAATAAAGAATAAAAGCCGAAACCGGTTACATGTGGACCCAGACATGAGATGTGCTTATCAGTGTCTCAACCTTGAATCAGTCGGCTGACTGAAAGGAAACAATGACATCCCTCCCATTGAGGTATAACAAAATATGCATTTTGTTTGATGATTGTAAACATTAAAATAAAGGAAGAGAACCAAAACAGTTTATTTTCATCATTATTTGTGAGGGGCTTGTGAGAGAACTGAAGGGGGGCCACGAGGATGTTGAGTGTTCCTCACGGGGGGAATGGAGTGAAAAAGTTTGAGAAACACTGTGATAGTGACACAAAGCTGTGCTACTCACACATATATGTCGCCGAACTTCTTGTGTAGGTCGAATAGCTGATTGTGTATGCTTTTCCTTGTCAGTGGGATGTAGCCAATCAGAGGAAGTCCCCAGCGTCCTGGTGGAGAATTTACTCATAAAACTTTACGAAGAATGGAGCTGTATGTTACTGGAAGAAAAGTTGAGTATATAAATTATGCGGAAGTTATACAGAATGTCGATGGATATATTTGCCCAGCATAAAAGACCAGCAGGACTCAGTAGCAAACCACTAAACACGAAAGGAACCTTACAGAACGTGTTGGGGTTCGGGCAACAGGTGACTGTTTCACTCGTTGTTGTACACGATGAAACCTGATGTATCCTACAGTGTTCTAGGTACCATTGAGGTTTCAGAACAGGAAATGGAGATTATTCATGAATTGTTATTGTTACTGAATTTTCGAAGCGGTGGCAGCAGTTAAGAATATATTTCCCTCAATAATTTCATGCATCTTACAGAAGTTTATTGTATTGTAGAGGCCATGGAAAAACAATATGGAGGAATAGGGTAACACTTTGGGTAACCACTCACCCGGGGGCATTCCGTCAGTCTTCTTGAAGAACCTCCACAGCAGGAAGAACAGCGCTACCAACAGTAACAGTTCCACCAACATCCTGCCGCCTCTGTTGTCTTACTGTTTCTGTCGGAGAAGGACGATGTCCCTAAACCATACTTGATTATTTTAAGTGTGAAACATGTGATATACGGAACACAAACAATGATTTACACAACTGCAGATGAATTTTACTCCATATCTTTTCGGGTTTTTGTGTTGTTGAAGTATTAGTTTGTGTAATTATATAAATGGATGTAAACTCTAAGGTTACGTAAAGGCATAGCGACTAGATTACTAATAACCATTACGGTAAGAAAACAAGCAGATAGATTCCTTTCCAACGGAATATATTGCTTCATTTTTCGTCTTGCAAGAAAATATTCACAGGTTTTATTCTTATAAATGAGTGCTGTTACGGAATGGTGGTCCCAGAATGTGTCAAATCATAGGTTTCCCCACTCCGGCAACAGAGTAAAGAGTAACAGGGTCGCCAAAGTAGCACTTAAAGTGATGTTACACTAAGGTGTGCAATACCAAAGTATCTCACGAGTGTGAGGGGTTACAAATATATATGCAAGAAAATCAATAAATAAAAGGAAAAAGAAATATACAGAATAAACAAGAAAACTAATGCTTTAGCAAAAGGAATAAAGCCTCTGACAAGACTACATAATAAACATTAATCAAGCAGAAGATAAGTTCACTAAGTATTAACCGGTTTGGGATATTCTCAACTCAGCAAGCATGAACAGTCACACTCTAGCAAATAATAACTATAGCTGGGTAAACAAATCAATACAATGTTAAGAAACATACAAAGAAAATTATATAAATTCACCCAGTTAATTCTTTCACTGAGTCACTTTCAGTATTCACTTTAATAAACAAATGTTCATAAATCATCGCCGTTCTTTCACCACTATAATATTAATATATTTTAAGCCTAATACACAAAAAAATTATATCCTACTTTCCTCCACTTTCCTTAATTCACTCACACTCATCTTAACACAATGCATACTGAAGTTTATGTCTGTCTGCCTGCCTTGAACACCGTAGGCACCGTGTCCTTCCTTCCTCAGTCACGTCAAACCTGTTTCTCCCTGTCCTGGGTACCATGGACTCACGCATCCGTTTTCTAGTGGCGCCACACAGCGTCACTCCCGACTCTAGTTTCACAAGCTCGACCCTTACGTAGGCACAGTCCCGTTCCACGCTTGCCCACGAGGTTTAGCTAGGGTTGTTGTTGTTGTTGTGGTTGTTTCCAATACCTCCTTTCCACTTCCGGAACTCTCGTCACGTCACAGTGCCTTATCAGATGTACAGTTCAACACAGAAGTTCGTGGTACAGTACACTTGAGGTGGGGAGTGCAAAACCGGTTCATCCTTTACTGTTCAGCGGGTCACCTCACGACACCCAGCAAAGGAGAAGTATAAAAATAGGGCTCTCTTTTTGGGATATGTTATTGTAAGGGCGGAAACGATCCTCCGGCTAGTTACCGCTGCTAACTCGCTCGTTTGCTGGTGCAGACGACCCTTGGGGTGGTTGGACGGAGGTGATAACGGCAGCGACTATCTCCGCCACGAGCAGATTCAACCCAGCCGCCATACCGTCAGTATCTAGCTACCCTGCTGTCCGTCAAATTCTGGCTGTGATCTCATCATAGGTCCTGGACTCGTGGGCTGTGTTCCCAGACCTTCACCTATCAACTGCCAACTCTCTGGTCATCTACCACTACCGCATACCACGACCATAAGTTCATCACATTCCGTCGGTGCCCCGGTGTTCTCCTGCCTTTTCAAGACGTCGCTGAGTGTGGAATTGAAGTGGACGCTTCCCTATCCTGAGTGTGCATCACCTTGTTCCAGAACCTTCCCCCAGGGCCACTGCCGTAGGAAATATTTGTTCATGGTTTGATTCTATAATTGTTGACTCCATTTAATTGTTTGAATCCATTAATTGCTGACTCCCCTGTATTGTTCGATTCTATCAATTGTTGACTCCATTTAATTGTTTGAATCCATTAATTGCTGACTCCCATTATTTGTTTGATTCCTTTAATTGTTGCTTCCATTAATTGTTTGACTCCCGTAATTATTTGATGTTGTTGAGTGGTGTCAGAGTTTTGTGTTATATTTTTATAGTAAAGAGATGTCAATCTGTAACGATTGTTTGTTATTCCTCGGAAAACCATGGTCCTTGACTTTCCTTTATTAAGATCCTGATTAGCCTGGTAAGGGATTTCTATCCCTAAGTCCCAGGCCTTTACAGTTATACAGAGATACAACAGACGTCTATTGAAAACGTCACCCACTGTTTAAATTCACTCCACACTGTCAACCCATCGCTTAAGTAATCCATGATCGGAAGTGATGTGTGCTGATTTAAGGTATTGATTACGTCTGGCAAATGGAAGGAAGTCGAATTCTGACATTACAGTAAACTGATACAACATCCATTCTAACAATATGTACAGTACATATTACATGATAATACTTATACCTACCCGGGGGAATAATATACTTGATTTAGGTCTGTCAGAGGAAATCTCATCAATAACACTGCCCTGCATAGTTTTTGAGGTTTGTGTATTATTAAGCTTTTCTGGGTGTATTTTGCATGCTGATCTAAAAAATGTTATCCATTTTGCTCAATCAGGTCAGAATTTTGTGCTATAGCATTTTAAGAGGAGATTCAGGTAAAATATTGGCATTTTTCGCTCAAAATGGGGTCCTCATATTCGTTCATTAAAAAAATCATCCGAGACATTGGCAAGCCTCACAGAAAAGATTTCGGTCAGTTTTAATGCCCTTACGATGCATTTAAATACACCCACGTGCTCGCCGGCCATTTAAATGTCCGCCGTGACGCAAAGGAAAAGAGTATATGTCCGTGTTTTTTTACATATATTTTTTCACAATTAAATTTCTTTTTCATCTGGTGGTACATGGCATGTACTAGCAACCACCCCTATGTGCCTCTAAAGTCTAGACCCTCAGTCAGTGTCTCTCGAGACTTCAAGAAAGTGGGAGTGTGTGCGTCTCTCTCTCTCTCTCTCTCTCTCTCTCTCTCTCTTACACACACACACACACACACACGCATATTTCTAATCATATACACACCTGTTTTTTCTTCTTACAGAGTTGTACATTTAATCATGAATCGGAAGTGCAAGAACGACCCGAACAGGGTTTGCTATGTGTGCGGTTGTGTAACAATGACAGACCGACAGTGCACCATTACTCCCCTAGTGAAAAACTTATATCATGCATACTTTGGAATGAAACTTGGAGACCAAGATAAAGCTTTTGCCCCTCACATGTGCTGCAAAACATGTGTTGAAAATCTGCGGCGCTGGAGCAACAAGAAGATTCAACGTCTACCATTTGGCATTCCTATGGTATGGAGGGAAGGCAGAGATCATACCACGGACTGTTACTTCTGCATGACAAACCTTCAGGGTGAGTTATACTAATACATCAATACTAATATATCAAATGCAGTATGTTCATGCATTCTTAAATATATCTGTAAGTTAATATGTTATGCTATCTTGATACTAAATCTTTCGTTCACATTTCAGGTATAAACAGGAAGAACAAACATCATGTTAAGTATCCAGATGTACCCTCAGCCATCAAACCAGTTCCTCACGGACCAGGAATACCAATTCCAACTCCACCAGAAACTATAGGGACATGATACTCGATGACGATCATGATATCGATGAAGACATAGAAGAGACTGACGCTTCTAGTACATACTTGCCCACAGCTTCTGCAAAAGAGCCCATACCCTTCAGTCAAGCTGAGTTGAATGATTTAACAAGAGACTTGTGCTTGTCTAAGGAGTCAGCTCAACTACTAGGATCACGGCTTTGCGAACACAATGTCTTAGCACCAGGAACAACATTTGCCTGGTACCGTAACCGTGACAAGGAATTTCGCAAGTTCTTCAGTTTTGACAAGGAAACTTCATTGGTGTATTGCAACAATATCAGTGGACTCATTGCAGCTATGGGAATATCATACAATATATCAGAGTGGCGGCTCTTCATTGACTCATCAAAAAGAAGCTTGAAAGCTGTGTTGTTGTTCAATGGAAACCAGGTCGCGTCTGTTCCGGTGGGGCATTCAGTGCAGATGGATGAGAACTACAACAACATGGAGTATCTGTTAACTGCTCTGAAGTATAAAGACCACAATTGGAAGATCTGTGGAGACTTGAAGGTAATTTAATACACCAAAAACAGTTGCTTTCAAAAATTGATATTTTGTTGACAGTTTTTCTAATAGGTAATTATGTCTGCCGACATACTGTCATATTATGAAGTGTTAATATTTTTTAATAATAAAACTATTAAGCTAAACATATTTTTAATCTGTTTTTTCCACAGGTTGTGTCCATGGTGGTGGGCCTACAAGGTGGTTACACCAAGTTTCCATGTTTCCTCTGTCTGTGGGATAGTCGAGCAGACAAGCAGCACTACATGCAACGTGACTGGCCTGCAAGAAGTGGACTTACTCCAGGTTCTCACAATGTTGTTGCCCATGCTCTGGTGAATCCGCAGAACATTCGTCTTCCGCCACTGCACATCAAGCTCGGTCTGTTCAAAAACTTTGTAAAGGCACTGGACAAAAAAAGCCAGGCTTTCAATTTTCTGAAAGAAAAATTTCCAAAAGTCAGTGAGGCAAAGCTGAATGCAGGAATTTTTGATGGCCCTCAGATCAGAGAGCTTTTCAAAGACCCCAAGTTTGATTGCAGCATGGATGTAAATGAGAAGAAAGCCTGGCATGCCTTTAAGTCTATTGTCTCCAATTTTCTTGGCAACTACAGAAGTCCAGAGTATGGACGAGTTGTTGAGGACCTACTTCTGAGCTACAAAGTTCTTGGTGCATGCATGTCCATCAAGATGCACTTCCTCAGCTCCCACTTGGACTACTTTCCAGAGAACTGTGGTGATGTGAGTGAGGAACAAGGAGAACGCTTCCATCAAGATATCCGTGTAATGGAGGAGCGGTACCAGGGTCGCTGGGATATCAACATGCTCGCCGACTACTGTTGGTGTCTGAAACGGGACGCC